GCAGCAAATGAAACCGCAGCCAGTAACCAGCTCCATAAGGAGTGTAATGAGGAGCAAGGTTTTTTCTTGCAACCTTGTCATCTGGGAAAGACGGCCTACTTCATTGCAATGATATGGTTGTCCATCATGATTCGTAAATCTCCTAAGTGTTACGAGCATGTTATATTTTATCAGCACATTTTATGTCATTTTTATGTAATAAATAAAACAGGTCACTCACTCCATGGCTGTTTTGGGGACATTGCTGTATGCATCTGGCTGCTGTGTTACGCTGACAATATACATAGTCAATCCACTTTACAGTATATCCTGTGAAGAGTTTTGAGATATCTCAACAACGAGAAAAGGCACTTTATCAAATGCAAGGATTTTTATTATTACATTGATCTCAGTCATTTTCTGATTGTTGATCAGCCGGTCTGTGCTGTGCAGGATCAACAGAGAAATCGATGGAAAATAATTCTACCTAATCTTTAAGAAACTTTTGTCCTAAAATTTAAGATTGTGCAGAATTGGAGAAAATTATTTAATTTGGTTCTGGGGTCATTGCAGTTTCTTTAAAAGTCTTGGTGATTATTTTCTGTGTAAAGAAATACTTTACACAAATGCTGGAGTCTTTTTCGAATATTGCCATATCATTAAATCGGTGCATTGGAGAGGGGTTAGTAAACTGGTATGACAATAGCAGCTGGTATGATACCTTGACAACCTTATGATTGAGGTTTTTCATGCAGATATTTAGAGGCAATGATAGAACAGAATCAATGGTTTATAGATTCATAATGTTACAACCAGAGACTGAACTTTCAGACCATCACACCTAGGCTGGTATTTTTCTCCGCATGGAACCACTCAATCTAATCCAATTCTTTTGCTGGCCCCCCCATACCCTTTAATATTCCTCCCTTTGAAGCATCTATCTGATTTCCCTTTTCAACGAATATCTGGATTATTGGGTGCACTCGGACTCTTTGGACTGTTTCAGAACTTGATTGATGCTGCCTGATTGCTTCTAATTACTGAAGACGAGAGGTGACATTTATCCCATGGTTTGGGCTGGATTTGAATCCAGTTCCTCACTGCACAACCCAATCCCACCATTTCTTTCTTTTAGCTTGTTCCTTTCTAATGTGTTGTTGCTCTCCCTCGAGATAAAGATGAGACTGTTTTCGACATGTCACAGAACCTGGCTAATATTAGATGTGTCGGATTCTGGCATTACTGTACAACTGAGTCAGTACCTTTGGCTCAGGAGGTGAAGCATTTTATGTCATGTTCCCAGTTTTGATAACCTAGCACTGCTACAACAAATAGTGTTATATTATGTAGTGTCTTTCATGTTGACTAAACATCTCAAAGTGATGCACAAAGAGAACAGGGAACCGAGCAGGGAGGAGAGTAAAGAGAATTTAACAGCGACCAAATCTCAACCAAAGAGAATATATTTTCAAGAGGACTTTGAAAGCAGGAAGATAGAAGAAACAAGGCGAAGGGATATTGTCAGAGTTCCATGAGATTGGTGGCACTGTGGCTGATGGAGGAAGTGTGGAAGGGCCAGTAGACCCGCATTGGAAGAACAGGGAGCACAAGTGGGGGAATAGGGATGGAGGAGATAGCGAAGATGAAAGGAACGACGCCCAAATCAAATTCAAGGTCAGGACAAGGATCTTAGAGTCAATGAGAATAGTGAATGAGGAACACCCAAAAAGTCTTTAAGGTCTTCAATTGTTAGTTCAAGCCAGTCATCCTTACTTGCTGCTAGTTTTCCATTTCCTCTCCAATAATAATATTTGCATTTGATATAGTGCCTTTCATGTCGGGAGGGGGTTTCAAAGCATTTCACTATAAACAACAACAACAACTTGCACTTATATAGCGCCCTCCAGGCAGGGTAGCGTCTAAGAGCGCTTAACAGTGGCGGAGCCTGAGTCTGAGCCAGGGGAGGGGTGAGGTGGCCAAGAGCATGTTCGAAGAGAAAAGTTTTCAGGTGGGACTTGAAAGAGGGGAGGGGGGGGGGGCAAGGCGGAGGGATTGAGTGATAGTGTTCCAGAGTTTTGGGGTGTAGTGGCTGAAAGCACGACCTCCTATGGTGTGGTGGAGGTTGCGAGGGACAAGCAGGAGGCCTTAACTGTGTGTTAACTGTGTATTTGTCGGTGACCACACAGACAATTTACCCACAGCAATGTCCCTCAAACAGCCATGAAATGAATGACAAATTTTATTTGGAGAATTTTTGGCCAGGATACTGGTAGGTACTCCCAATGCTCCAATGCCCTTTAGCAATCTCTCAACTGTACACAAATAGTACCCACAAAATACACAATCAATCCACTTTACAATATATTCTGTGAAGCGCTTTGAGACGTCTCAATGACGTGATAAAGTGCTATATAAAATGCAAGGATTATTATTATTATATACTGAATGTATAGGGTTAATATAACCCGATCTTCGAATAGTCCTGTTCACAGCAGTAAAATATCTCTTTATGTTCTGTTATGCATCTCAGCTTCAAATTTAAATTGGAATTTAAAAAGGCTCATACGGGGGTGAATTTACATTTATTTGCCTGTAATATAGACTAACTAAACAAACGACTTCGCTGTTTGCACTGCTCTCAAACTCGTGCAGTGTGCTGGCATTATGTGTTATGTCTCAATGACTTTATTAATATAGCTGACTCATTACGATCATGTTCTGACACTGGCCACTGGTGATATCTTGCAGTAAGCTATCATCTACAACTTAACTGCATTTCCTACCGTATTACAGATGCTAATATTATTCTTTAGAAATACTTCCTCCTCCTCCGCTACCAACCAGACAACAAAATGATATGAACTTGTATCTAGGCTGACACTCCATCACAATGCTGGAGGAGTTCTGTATTGTTGTCGGTGCTTCCTATAGCTGAGACGTTAAACTGTAGCTCAGTGGTTAGAGCACTCGCCTCGCAAGAGAGAAACCTGGGTTCGATTTCCGGCAAGGCGAAACCTTGGGCAAGTTTCCTTACTCCACACGCCTGATAATAATCCCTCAAGATAAAAAAAAAGAATAAATTGGTCATTTCAATCCACGACTGTTTGTGGGACGCTGCTGTACACAATTGGCTGCCGCATTTTGCCCACAAATATACAATCAATTCACTTTACAGTGTATTTTGTGAAGCGCTTTGAGACGTCTAGAAGACATGAAAAGCGCTATATCAAACGCAGGGATTATTATTATTAGTAGTAGTATAACGCCTTAATCACTTTGTCAAAACATCTCAAAGCACTTCACATGATGTACTGTAAAATACAGTGATTGCAATTGTAGGCAATTAACGCAGCAGCCAATTGAAGTGAACAATGAAGTGAATGAAAAACGTTATCTGGGGGATTGTTGGCCAGGACCCTGGGAGAAAATCCTTTGTCTTGTCAAATAGTGCCTCGGGATCTTTAGTGCCACCTGAACAGGCGGATAGATGGTGCTTTGGTTTAATGTCTCATCCAAAAGGACCCACATCTGATTATGCAGTGTTGCTCCAGCACTGCACTGGAGTGTCAATGTAGACTATGAACTCAAAGTCCCAATGTGTGGCTTGAACCCAACTTTTTGACTCAGAAGTGAGAATGCTGCCAATTGAGCCAGGCTGACACATTTATAAGAGAGATAGCTGGATACTTGTGGAGTAAAAATATTAAGGAGCAATTAGCAAGGAAGAAAAATAAATGTTAGTCACTGAATCCACAACTGTTTGTGGGACACTGCTGTGTGCGATTGGCTGCTGTATTTCGCACACAAATACATAGTCAATCCACTTTACAGTATATTCTGTGAAACACTTTGAGATGTGTCAATGACCCGATAAGACTCTGTATCGAATGCAAAGATTATAATATTATACGGTAGTGTAAGTGGAGGTTTAAGTTCATAACCAATTGAAAACTCTAGAGGAACAGATGGGATGTAATGACCTCTTCCTGTTCCTAATTTTCTATGATCTTGCAAGTCTAAACATTCTTCGCAAATTATTCCCTGGGGTCAAAAGGGTTTATGTAGCATTTGAGAGTCCAGAAAATTAGCAAATTGTTGAATTCTGTCTTAATTTTGAAGCAAATGATATGCAATTGTTAAAAGAATTTTCAGAAAACAGCTTAAAAATCAGAACTGTACAGTATTTTAAAATGAGCCAAATTCTGGATTCTCGGAAATGTTAATAATAATAATAATCCCTGCATTTTGTACAGCGCTTATCAATCTAGGTCCAGGTAGAGACAAAGGAGAGGATAGATGTGAACCATCTCTATTCCAACATTGAAATTATGATTATTTTAATGGGGGAAAAAGGGAGAAACATGGAGAGAAATATTTACACCTTTTGCTCTTCATCAGCCTGAAAATGATGTGCTGCGGTGCACGACGATAAAAAAAATTAATATATTTGTGAAAAAGATCAGTACAATAAATGCATCATGGATTATTTGCCCCCCACACCCCCCCCCCACCGCCCCCACATCCGTTTATAACTTTATAACTTCACTTTTTAACACCGTTAAATCCCTTCCCTCCCCGATTAAGCGCTCGCTATTCACAACAGTGGCGATGGGCTATTGAATTCACCCAGTGCTCCCCACCGCATCTCTCGGTCTATAATAATAGCATCGCTTTAGACCTCATAAACAAGTGATCTGTTCAAGGCTATATGTTTACCTTTCTGCGCGTAGACAATATCTGCACTCCATCCGCGCGCGAGCGGCCGCCGCCGCCGCCGCCGCGTTTCGCCCGCAAGACACACCTTAGAATACATTCCGCGAAGCGCTTCGAGGCGCCTCGGCGACCGACCGACCGCTGTGTCACATTTCAAATCCATCGCAATTCAGACACAAGACTCACACTTAGAGACACACACCCACACGCACCTAACGACTTGCACACCCAAAAATACAACAGACCTCACACACCCTCCCTCCCCACTTGCACACACACACACAACAATAGACAGATCTCACACTTACCACTTGCACCACAGTCCTATCCTCTCTGCTGCTCTCCAACCTGATGGGTTTCTGTACGTTTCTGCCGCTGCTGCTGCTGCTGCTGCCTTGTTTCGGGTAAGGTCTGCTGTCATGCCACAAGTAATACAACATGCCCAGGATCCAGGCTACAGTCAGCAGGACGATTGCATTTGCACGGATTCTCCGCATCCTCGCATTGATTGTATCGTATCTAATTTAATTTTTTTTTGCTGCCTTATCTGTATCTGTCTGTCTGCCAGGGGCTGCGATTGCTCGACCGCCCGCCCCTCGCCTCCTTGCCCACTAGCTTCAGCAACAACCTCCAAGGCTACTCTTCCCTTCTCCCAGCCGCAGATAGGCAGCTAAGCACTGGGTCCTAGTGCCTTTCTTTTGCAAAAAAAATAGCTTTCTCTCTTTTTTTTTACCTCCCAGGGAGTCCACCAAGATGGGCAGTAAAGTCACCTTTCTTCCCCTGGAGCCACCACCTGTCCTGTTCCCCATCCGCCTTCATTTCCCTTCTCAACCTCCCCCCCGGTATCTCTTCGCCTTAACCGCCTTCTAAACTCCCTTCTAAACGGTTTCCGAGAAAATTAACTCAAAAGATAAACAATGTGGCCACGCAAATCCGTGACCGTTTTGTGGGACGCCGCTGGGCGCGCTTGGCTGCCGCGAGATTTCGCCCACAAAGTGCACGTTCTACAATATATTCTATCAAACTCTTTTGAGACGTCTCAAGGACGTGATAAGGCGCTATGAAGTTTTGATATATTTGCATACATCAAATGCAAGGATTATTATTATTTTCTCAGCCTCTGTACAAACTCAGCTCTGGCTTCTTCAGATTTTTTGCATCAACCCTGTCCAAAGCACTGACGTCCCCATTGCTAACCAGAACCACAGTGGGATGGGCATAAGTGATTTCCTTGTAATGTGTGTCAGCCACATCCACAGTGGAAACCAGGGGAGATCATCTACAGGAGAAGTGAGTCACGTCACCACAAAACAAATCCTATCCTAATGGAGAGGGAGGGCAATTAGACAGATGGAGTTGTCCTTTGTGATGAAAAATACTGTACCTAGGACTTTCCTTTCCTCATAGAGGGTGATTGCGGATTGAAGAAGAGGTGGAGGGGGAATGAATATGGGGAATGAATGAACATCACCCCTTCCTTCCCATTTGATTCACCTCACACACAAAATCCACTTCACAGTATATCCTGTGAAGCGCTTTGAGACGTCTCAATGACGTAATAAGATGCTATATCAAATGCAAGGATGATTATTGTTATTATTAAACCCCCACTCTATACCTGCCCTTCCTCAATATCTGCCCTTCATTCCTAAACCCCATCCCTGGACCTTCTTCAATCCCAGTTCACCCTCTCTGCCTTCCAATTAAGATAAGACAAATGTTTGTTGATGTGATTTACTCTTCCTCTTCTAGAGCATCCCCCCTGACATCCAATGTTGATGTCTGACCCACATTACAGGGATCGTGTACATGCCACAGTTTGGTTCAGTAATGCAGTCAGTGCTTTGGACAGGACTAGTGTAAAAGCCAGAGCTGTTAGTCTGTGCTGAGTTACTACAACAACAATTTGTATAGTGCCTTTCGCATCAGAAGGACATCCCAAGGCGTTGGACAGTGAAGGGTGTGCACCTGAGCTGGGGGTGGAAGAGGGGTGGGGTGGGAGGGGGGGTAGGGGTGGGAGGAGGTCAAGGGGGGGTGGGCAGAAATGGAGTTTGGGGTACTGGGATGGAGCAGCCACTCCAACTGGGCTCAAAATCAGCCATGATTTCTCACTCACCAGTGACTCCTGCTGGAAAGTGTGGACATTGACTGAAGACGCATTTGGGCTTGAGTGTGATGCTCCACACAGTATATTAGCCTGCTTGCACTGGCAACTCTAGATAGCCTACCTAACTAATAATAATAATAAAAATAATAATCCTTGCATTTGATATAGTGCTTTTCACGTCTTCTAGACGTCTCAAAGCGCTTCACAGAATATGCTGTAAAGTGAATTGACTGCATATTTGTGGACAAATCTCTTTGGTGAGGTGCACAGAAGATCCTTATCCATGGAGCCCCAGCATTCAAGCATCACTGTCTGGAGAGGTGAGAAAGGGGGGAGGGAAAAACACAGCGTGGGGGTTACAATTCGGAAGATTCTGATGCCTGACCTAAATGACTGCTCATGTACCAGTTTGTGCTGTGATTGTCACAGAGTTTGCCTGACCTGTGGGCATTTTACTGCAAAGTGTGCCAACTGTGCATTTGCAGACAAAACGCAGCAGCCAATTTGCGCACAGCAATGCCCCACAAACTGCCATGAAGTGAATGACCAATGTTTTTCTGGGGGATTGTTGGCCCGGACACCAGTTGGAGTGGCTGCCTCACCTTCTGGAACTCCATCCCAGAACCCCTTTCCTTCTCTTTTCAATCAGTGTCATGGGATCTTTAACGTCCACCTGAACGGGGTGTGGATACACGCCTACACTTTCAGCAGGCGGAACTCTCTAGTCCAGGGACACTGAGACCAGTTGTGGATGTTCTCCCTTCCATTGCTGCCCTATCTTATCTTTGATTATCCAACCCAGAACCTTCCTGCAGTATACAATGCTACACTCTCGAGAGCCATCCTTGATGGGAAAGAGTTACAGACTGAAATCTAATCGAGAGGTTTGGACTGTTTATATATTGAATTACAGTCCAATGGGAATACGTTACAGACTAGAATTTAATCAATGAGTTTGCTTGTTTTGTATATAGAATAACAGATTCCTAGGAATGAGGTACAGGAGGTGTACAAACACATGGTTTATATATATCATAATGTATCCCTGGGAGTGAGCTGCAGCCTGGGTTCTAATTGAGGGAGTTAGATGGTTTATATACAGATTAATGTATCCCCAGAAGTGAGTTACAGATTGGAATCTGATTGAGTTGATAGTATGGTATATAAATAGAATAATTAATCCTCAATTAATCCTTGCTCAGAGAGTGAGTTACAGGCTGGGATATAATCAAGGGATTTGTATGATTTGCATATAGGAAATCTATATGTAAATCAGGCACTGGCCTGAGGTCATTTGTTGAGATCTGGCAAATAACTCGTGGAGGGGTTCTAACTGAACAGAAAAAGTATAGTTACAACAACAATATGTCTCTGAGACAATAAGGAAATCTTCGCAGAGACATTGAGAACCTCAGTTGTGTGAGAGATAGAAGGTGATAACTCATCCCAGTGTCTTGGGATGTCCTCCCTACATGAAAGCCACTATACAAATGTAATTTGTTGTTGTAATGATAATTCTTGCATTACATATAGCGCCTTAAAGTCCTACCCAGGATTTTGCTTAAGTATAGTCGCTGTACTTGTAGATAAAGGTGGCAGTCAATTTGCACATAGCAATGCCCCACAACCAGCCAATGAAGTGAGAGTCCAATTTTATTTGGGGAATTGTTAGCCAGGACAGGTACCCTTCTCTTGAAGGGAATTTGGTGGATACTATTTCTGTTTTACAATTTGCTACAATCTCAGCTGATGGAACAACAATAACTTGCATTTATATTGCCACCCCCGTCACGCGGGATAGCTTCTCAAAGCGCTGGAAAGGCAACTTATTCCGCTCTGTTGAACCCCAAGTGATTTGCGCACAGCAATGCCCCACAAACATCCATGAAAGGAATGACCAACTTTGTCAGGGGGATTGTTGGTGAGGACACCAGGAGAGAGGAACTCCCGTCTCTTTTCGAGCAATGACATGGGAACTTGGAACATCCACCTGAACAAGCAGATGGTTTAACATCTCATCTGAAGGACGGCACCTCCAACAATGTAGCTCCTCTCCAGCACTGCATTGGAACGTACGGAGAGGTGGTCTAAACCTTAGACTCGAAAGCAAAGACCAAGAGAGTGTTTTTTCGACCAGTTTTTGAAAGGTGAAAGGGAGGGAGTTAGTTACAAGTCAGAATGGGGATTGTTTTAATTTCCAGCCAAGACCTAGCAGGGATACAAAGATTATTAAATATGATAGAAAAAGATGTCTGTAAATTCATCTGTCAACATCTAATTAGGGTGACCTGGCGAGGAATCCAACTGTTTCAGATCTCTGCCCCTTTCCTTTGATTAAAAACTGCAACCCTTGTGAAGGGAATACAGCCAATATATAAATGCACACACAACAAATGCTGTTATGGCACCGAGTCATTTGATGCTGACACCAATGATGTTTAGAATCTTCACAGCTCATCTCTGATATAATACGGTAATGTCTGACTCTGTTTAAGCTGCAATTGATTAACTCGCTCATTCCCTGCAGTGACTCTGGTTACAAACTGGCACGTTGGGATCTCTGTAATGTTCTGAAGGTGAAATACAATCTTGCTTTGGTACTTTGACTCTGTTTGCCAAGTTACAATGCCCTGTGAAGCACAATTTTGTTTTATTACCTTCTTGTTCTTTCTCCTGAACTGTCTTCACCCGCACGTAGTCATGCCATCCGACAATAGACACTGGATAATAATCAGGGGCAGGAAGCCAGGCTGACTTATTTGCCCTTCACTACAAGGTCACCCGTTGTAGCTTCCCTCCAGTCACCCAGTTGAGACCTTCACACCTATTGGTGCATTCATCGACCGAATGAACAGCTCCTGGCATTCCCTTCCACTGTTCCCATATTTGCTTATTGTTATTTAGACAGCGATAGGTCAGATATTGTTATTGGTGTGTCATCCTGGCTCAGTTGGTAGCACTCTCGCCTCTGAATCAGAAGGTTGTGTGTTCAAGCGCCATGTTGGAATTGGAACCCATTGGCTAACACACCAGTGCAGTGCCGTCCTTCGATGAGACATTAAACCAAGGTCTCATGTGCCTGTTCAGGTGGATGTTATGCACTATTCAAAAAGAGAAGGGAGTTTTTCCTGGTATCCTGCCAAACAAATCCCCTAAATAAAATTAACCCATGGCTGTTTTGGGAAATTGGTACATTTTAGCTGCTGTGTTTGCCCACAAATAGACAGTGAAACCATTTTACAGCATATCCTCTCAAAGACATGATAAGGCGCTATATCAAATGCAAGAATTATTATATTATTATCATATATATGTTATGTGTAAAACATATGTGATAATAATATATGGTAATAATGTAATATATATTAGTCTATACAGTATATCCTGTGAAGCGCTTTGAGACATCTCAACTATGTGATAAGCCACTATATCAAATGCAAGGATTAATATTATGATTAACAGTGGTCCGTTTACGTCCACCTGAATCACCAGGCAGGAAATCCACGAGGCAAAAAAACACTGACAGCAGATGCTCCATCTGCTGCTGGACAAGTCCTCCCAGTGGACGAGACAGCGATGTGTTTGCCTTAAACTCTTCCAGCTGTTTCCAGGAAGTGAGGCCATTGAGAGAGAATTCCCAACTGCATTATTCCCCTTTCGCTTGTGCAAGTCCGAAATTCCACCTCACCTTAGCCTGTAAGACCATTTTGTCGTAGCATTTATGATTG